TCTGCCTGCTTCGTCTCCGCTACGTTTCTGTCTCCACTACTGCTTCGACTCCATCTGTCTCTCTCACTGTCTAGCACACTTATATAAGACAATACTGCCTGTTCTAGAAACTTCTAAGACTCTCAACACATGCTACCAGCGTCAATTGACTCTTGCTGTCGCAATGCACTAGCGAATCTTCTAGAATATTCATCACGTGACCCCGCTGTCGTAACACACTAGCGAATCTTCTAGAATACTCATTACGTGACCACCACTGTCATAACACTGTCACTTCCTTAGTATTGTTCGTCCCGAACAATAGCCACTTACATTAAACTAATAAACAATTAACAATAACTTAATTAAATGTACAGAATTTACAAACACAAAATTAAAATTCAACAAAGTCTTTTAATTTTTCGGGACGTATCTTCTTCCGCACTGGTCTCTGTCTCGTTGGCTTCTGCTTCATGTAGGATTCATCTGCTTCATCAGGAAACGTCCTATCATTGGTAACAGTCACATCAGTGGTAGTAACTTCATCAAGGGCTTTACTGTTTCCCTTCTCAAAACCGAATAGTTTCTTCTTCAACAGTGGCTTTTTCAGGAGACACGTCTTCAGCAGCGTCATTTGTTCCATTGTTCACTTCATCCCAACTGAAATGTCCTGGACCGTGATAACGCCAAAGCCTGTTTGCACGCACCACCTTTGGCTTACCTCGCTGACCACATTTTATCCGGAAAGTCACGTCTGAGAGACGATCCACTATGTCATATGGGCCTTCCCATGGAGAAGACAACTTAGGAGACTTCCCTTTGGTCTTCCTGGGATTATATAACCACACCTTGTCTCCTGGTACAAAGCTAACTTCAGTAGATCTCTTATCATAAGATATCTTCATCGAATCAGCAAACGTTTTCAAGTTTGAGCGCACTTGATGGTGAATATCATTCATCCTTTCTGTTAACACTTTCACAAACTCTGATACATTTTCAGGAAACTCTTCATAAGGTGGGCGTCCTGTTAACAGATCCACTGGCAACCGAAGTTCGCGACCAAACATCAACTTTGCTGAAGTGTATCCAGTGGCTTCATGCTCTGCTGTCCTATAAGCCATCAGCAGTGGAGGTAGTAAGACATCCCAGTCATCTGGCGACTATTACAAAACTTTGCCAATTCCTGTCCCAGTGTCCAGTTGTACTTTTCTACCATCCCATCGGACTGTGGGTGAAGTGGCATTGTCCTGGTCTTTCGGATGCCAAACAACTTGCAGCATTCTTGGAACACAGCTGATTCGAAGTTACGGCCTTGATCTGAATGCAGTTCGTATGGCATACCAAATCTGAAGAAGAAATCACTAATAGCCGAAGCTACAGTTGTAGCTTCCTGATTTGGTATTGCATATGCCTCAGGCCACTTGGTGAAATAATCCATCACCACACAAATGCACTTGTTTCCAGTACGAGTTTGGGGCAGAGGACCAGCAATGTCAATGGCTACTCTTTCCATTGGTGCATCAACTTGATATAACTTCATTGGAGCACGTCCCTTATGCTTGGGTCCCCTTTTAGCACAACATGTACAACATGTTCTGCACCATTCTTCCACATCTTGCCTCATACCTATTCAGTAAAATCTTTGTCGTAGGTGACTCAACGTCTTCTTAACTCCGAGGTGTCCTCCTGTTAAAGTATCATGGGATTGGCGCAGCACAACGTCCCATAACTTTCTCGGTATAACCGTTTGCCAGGTCGTCACTTTCCCATCTGCAGTTTCCCATCTCCGGAGAAGAATACTATCTTCAAGCTTCAACTGGTCCCATTGTGCCCAATAGTTCTTTGTCACAGGGCTTAAGCAAAGCGCAAAACACTTGCTTTTAGAAAATCAATTATTAGCTTCAAATCTTGGTCTTTTTCCTGCTCTGATTTAATAGCTATACCTGGTTCCCCTTCATCATCAACTCCTT